AAGGGATTCGCACCGAGCCAGTTGTTCCTCGAGCATCTTCACACGCTGCTCAGAGGCAATCACTTGGCTAGTCAGTTTCAACACATCAGACTCCAAGCTAGCTTTATCTGTTCTCAATGCCTCAATTTCACTTTGGGCAATCATAAGCTGTTCATCTTGTTCGTTGATTTTAGCCTGCAACTCTTTTTCCTTTGCTGCCGCTTCCTCCCTCAGAGACGCAAGGGCTCCATCCCTGAGTTCTAAAGTATGTTTTTTCTCGTCAACCTGTGCCGCGTTAAGTCTAAAATCATCTTCGGCCATCACTAAGCTGACGAGAGCACGGCCTAAACAAGCTTTCGCATATCTGAACTTGTACGTACTGGGGAGAGAAGATACTCCAATCTCGGACCTCGGATCCCACGCCATCATAGGGACCCGAGCAGCATCAATTACATGGTTGGGCAATTCAACCGAGCTTGAGATCTCGGGAATCTCGACTGATTCGAAAGTTGAGAACCATTTCTCAACTGATTCCCGAGGCTGTCTAAAATTCAGAAACCTCTCTTCATCCATTGGCAAAAAAGAACGATCAATAATGGGTTCCTTCTTCTTTTCACGATCACCAACATCGTGTTTCTTTTTCCTCCGTTCCTCGGTAGCCGGAATATCCTCTGCACGCCTCTTTTTCGACCGAGTAACGGGCACTTCACGCTCAGCAGTAATTTTGTGGCCCTCCTCAGGCTCATCAGAAGCCAAATCAATCACCGGCGGATTCTCTGCTGCGACAGCCTCAACATTTGGCTCAGCTTCAGAGACAGCAGCAGTCGTAGTAGTAATCGCAGCAGCAATGGCAGCCATGGGACCTGCTGCTGCAATGGCCAGGGGATTTGGCTGTGGAACCACAATTGCAGCCGCCGACGTCGCACCATCACCGACGTCGGCTTTCGGTGGATTCATAATCGGGTTCTCCAAATAGGCCTTCACTAACTTCTTACGGCCCATTCCTGTCAGACGCAACTCTTTGCTCTTCCCGACTTTAGTTCGCAGTTCCAAATTCGGACTCCTTTGTCGGAAGGCTCTAGCGTCACGAATAGTCTTAAAACCGAGTACTCCGAGAAGTGGATAATACACTGCAATTATGAAACCGAGTTATTATGAAATCCAAAAGCTACCGACTTCGAATAAGATTGAAAAAATTCGATTCGAATTTACCTGGTTGAAAAGAACCGTCTAAGATTTCTGGACACAATCCAGCAGCTTTCAACCTTGAATCCTTTAAAATCAGCTTGAAACCGCGCTGTGTCTTCTTGAGTTTGAATAGTTCCGAAATTCTTCCTTTTAAAGTTGCGCTGAGTTCAACTCCTTTGCTTTTGGTTGCAAATAGTAAAGTTGTTGACCTGTTAGTACACAAATAAAAAGCAAGTCAGAACAAACTCGGTTTGTTGGAAGGAAGGACAATACTTACAAACTGCAGAATTAATATTAATTGGAATTGACATTCCATCAATCAAGGGCTTATTGAAATTCGGAGTCTGCCAATCCCCGCCGACCCACAGCCATTCCTCTTGGAACCCGTGCAGCGAATCCGGGATTTCTGTAATCAAATCACCAATCTTAAAACCACTTTGGGGCCTTCCTGCACAAGCATAGCAAATCAGAGGATCTGCTACTTACCTGTCAGTACATCTCCGGAACGAGAAAAGGCTCCTTAACTCCTCAACAGTTGGCATATCCCAACCCTTTTCCTTCAGCAATACCAGAAGACCAATGATTCTCTTCCATGAATTGGGTGCTACTTGACATAAACCAATCCCCCAATTTCTTAAATAATCCGTGATCAAACCGGGAAGCGGGAACCTTAAGCCTGACCTCAATGAGTCGGCAAAAACACTAACACAACCCGGAGGAGGACAAGTTATTCTTTCACCTGGATAAGGGGCAAACAGTTTTACCGAAGACGGGATGTAAACTTCCCCACGAAGCATGACGATGTCGGCGTCAGTAAGAATACTCGGTTCTCCTCTATACTCGTCAATTGGCTCCGGCCACCGACGAGCAGGACGTCTCCAGTAATCTGGAAGCGACATAGCGTCCTCTTCGACTCGCTTGTCCTCATCGATGATATCCCTATTGAGATTAAGACTCTTTACCAAAAGAGGATCCCACCGATAATACTCCAGAGGCAATTCCAAATCCTCATCGGTAAGGATCGGAATATCCGAAATCGTTCGGCTACTGCTATTCTCAGTTTGCGCAGACATCTTTCTCTTCGAAATCGATACAAAATACAGAAAAATTCGAAACAGAATAAGAAAACGAGAAAGATTAGGGCAAATTCTTACCGAAACTTTCGAAGAACTCTGGATTGATGNAAAAAAAAAAAAAAAGCGAGTGCGCATAGAAAATACGTAAAGAGAAGATTGCTGAAAGAACGCAAGAGAAATCGAAGAAAAAGGTACAGAAATTTTTTGCGCCTCAAAACCGACTTTAATTTATAGGTTTTGATTTATGACCGTTAGAAATATCCAGAAACGGCGCGTGTAACGGACGTGTCTTCAAAAGACATAACGTTACAGTAATTATTACCTTACGTGGCCGTATCCTAAAACGCCATGTCGTTACAAAATTGTATCCGTTGGACCCATTTAATGCGGACACGTCTTTTAAGAGCCGCCATGTCAGATCAAATACCGCAAAGTGTCGAATGAAGCAAAGTGTTCTCATGTCGGTAAACAACGCAAAGCAAGTCGGAATAAGATGGAACAACAAACGACATCAGCAATCATTTAAAAAGCTTCAAATACTTACTGATGTCGGGGGCCTCACTGTTGATATCAAATCCAGTAATCAGAATTAAAAGTACTACAAGTCGGAATATATTAGAGCAAATTACCGACTTCTTAAGAATTACCGATTTCCGAAAAGATCCAACTTCCGACAGACCTTCAAAAGGATTAAAACCGACATCCGAGATCAAAACCGACTTCAAGACAACCGACTACCGTAAAGTTTGAACATTCCAAACAGAAAGTAATCATTAGAAGCATCTGATTGGACCAACGAAACAAAAAGGCAATCATTGATGTTTCCCGCCGCCTCAAACAAAGCAGCTCAATATTAAATGCATCTCTATCCATTTCGAGGAAGAAGACAAAAGCCACCGTACTATAAATAGCAGAATTTATGATAGTACGAGGATCTTTTTTTCGATCACATTGTACACGAACTTAAGACAATCTCGGTTTTTAGCTTAAAACCGACTTCTGTACTCTTGTGAGCAAAATCAATAAAAACTTAAATAAAAATTTATCCTCATTTTCTTGACATCAACTGTACTTAATTTGAAGTTGTTAATTCAAGACAGCAACACATATAGTGAGGAGTAGAGAGAAAACCCAATCTAAGGCAACCAGCCCTTGGCTCGCGCCCAGCACCCTGGGGAAGGAGGAGCAGCGAGTTACGGCCACCTACAGCCATAATCTCTCGAGGCCTAGCAGCATCTAAGTGTTCCTTAGATTTTTCTAAGCCTTTTGGAGTTGATTGGCCCGAGCAAAACCTAACCTAAGTCCACCCTAAGTCCCAAAGCCGCGGCTAGCCACCGTTTGAGCCCTAGCTTTCGTTTTTGCATTTTGGTGAAGGTTAGTCCGAGGCAACTTTTTCCCAAAATTATTTTATGATATTTTAAGATTTTTCATGAAGAAAAACCGAGCCATGCATGTCATTATATGTGAGTTCCGAATTTTTGAAGTTAATGGCCTTAAAAATGAAATTTTAGTTCCAAGCATGTTAAAGTCGAAAATGTTTGTTAAATCACCCTTAAATATCATGCCATTGATGGTGTAAAAATTTGAATATAATTGGAGTTCATTTCCTTGGTCAAATCATGCTCGAAAATATGTTAAAATGGGCCCTCGAACCCTAGTTCATTGCATGCAAGATGTGCCACATGTTTTAGCCTCTATAGTCATGA